CTCTTCTCCCACGTCTCCTTCCCCTGTCACCACCTGCTCTATTGACTTTTTACAATTGGAGCCCTTCTGAGCACTCAGAGAAAACGCCCGATGTACATTATTTAATTTCAAAAAAAAGATTCTACTTTGCTGTCCGCCTCTCCATTCTCCGTGCCGGTATTATTCTACACCCGGTTAGTTGCAACGCGTAATCCGCGAAAACAGCGGTCAGCGACAAAGCGGTGGTGATGGGGTGGACCACAAATCTGGTAGAAAACAAGGCACTCTTTTCAATGAATAAGGCCATCAGCCGTATTTCATCTTTCGCGGCAGACGACCTAGCATATTGTATCACAGTATTGTTTTACTACGACTACGAGTGATACAGGTATTAGTCAAGAGTAGGGGAGTATCGAATCAGCGCATATTAGTTGTAGTTTGTGACGGAGCTTTTACACGCGGACTAATTCATCTCCCTGTCATTCACAGTGCTACTGTGTCAACCATTGGGCGCCCGCTGTGGAATCATCAGTTACAAGTAAAAAAAGCAGGCAATAACCATTGTTCGCGACCCTATCGAAGTTAATATAGTTACCTATTGCTATCACGGACGAAATGCTCCCCGGGTTGCCACGATATCCAATGTTGTATCGTTCGGTATATTTAGGGTAATAGGCAATGCCTCTGAAGACCTTTTGAAAACGATATGCAAATATAGTCGACATAAAATAAAAAATAAAAGTGGGCGATAAGGTAGTGGGTAACATATATAAATTACACATTTTAATGGTGATATTTACGCATCGTCATCCCGAGAATTGGAGATAGTAACTTCATTTGTAAGTGTGATCGAAGCGTCGATATGTTCTAAAAGTGCTTTCCTGTGCATATGAACGGTATCTGCTGAGTAAATGTACATCAAAATTGAGTTTGAATGCGTCTGCCGAGTTCGCCATGATGGCCTCCTCGGGCATTCCGTTCTGGGCACAGGAACGAAGGGCTACGGACATCTAGTTGGGATAAGGTTCCTCGGAGTTTGAGAGAATTCTCAGGCAGGTTAGTTGATGTGGCAAGGGCGAAGAAGTCATCCAACTGCAGGGCACCTTCCCGATTCCTCCCGAGCCGGTGTGTCTGTATGGGGCCATTGCCACTAGATTTACACCATACGCCCGTCACAGGTACAAGCTTGAAAATGGGGAATGGACTTCGTCCGAGATTTCGCTTCTCG